GGGGGATTCTCTCAGTTCCTTGGAAGTTCTACATTCTTTTTCATCTCTTCACACTGTTTCTTCTGCATGTGATAAAATCTCTCTCTGTCTCAGCCTTTCTTCCCCTGGGAAATATTGCTCAACAGAATGCCCCAGCATCAGTGGGACTTCTCACTGCCAAAGCTCCTTTGTGGTCCCTTCCTGGGCTCCTCCAGAACCCAGGCTCCTCGCTGCCAGCTCCTGACACCTTCAGATGCAGCGTGAGCCCCCTGAGGCTCTGCCACTCACAGCAGCACTCCCAGCACCCGAACACCATCCACTCACAGCATAAATAAATACACGTTGTGTGAGTCAACGGAACTATGAAGTAGTCCCCACGGTATGTCACTGAGGGGATTCTTTAATCCATTTTGCACATGTTTATGGATTCAAGAAGCCATACAGTCCAAAGCATCCGCAGTCTGAACAGGCAATGTGTTTTCAGGGCACAAGAGCCACATTCGGATCATAATGCTTGGCAAACATTGGGAGAGCTGGGGAAGGAGGCCAAACACCTCTTAATGTAGGACAGAATGAAGACCCACTTGAAATTTCACAGTGATATACTTACACTGGAAGTGTTCTAATAAGACCAAGCTAAGGATTTAAAAGACATTTAAAACCACTTTCAAATAGGCCTGCTATGACCTGAAAGTTATGTCCCTCTATCTCTCTACCCCAGCCTAATCATACTTTGGACCTTAATGGCCTAGTGACCTCGTTAAGAGCTGGTGTCTTTAAGAGGTGGTGAGGTGCTGATGGCAGAACCTTCATGAATTCGAGAAGTGCTCTGATAGGAGGACCCCGAGTGCAGCCAAGCCTCCTCCACCACGGGAGGAGGAGCACCAGTGGGGAGCACAGCCTCCATCTCCGTCTTCCAGCCTCCAAAACTATGAGCTAGAAATTTATCATTTGTGACAACATTGGAGAAGAAGTTTTCTTTACATAATAGTCATATTGGCTATAATATAAAGATTAAAAAGAAAACCCAGGCAGGAAATCATCTTCACCAATTAAAGGTGGAGAAAAAATGACTTTCACAAGGTTTAAGAATTGAGGAAAGGAGAACTAAATCCACTTCTCAGGTAACTTCAGGAACTATAATTAAGAACACAGCAACGCTACCCATCCAGGTCCATTTGATGGTACAGCCCCATCTACCCAGGAGCAGGCCCTGTGGCCCCCACATGCAAAAAGCTCACACCTCCCCAGCTCACAGCTCTGCTACTGGGCCGCCCCAGAAAACCAATGCCTCTTACCTCGGAAATCTCAGAGATTCTCTTGTCTTGATACTCCTTCCTATATATAAATATCCTTTCTGTCCCCCCACAAACCATTTATTTAGTTCCCAAACCCATTGAAGTTTTCAGTCTCTATAGGTCAAAAATCTCTAAGAATTCAATGAAATCCCAAACTTCTTCACAGGAAAACATGAGCATCTATCCACTTACATACATGTAATTCTGCATGTCTTTTCAAAGGCTCCCAGGGCCTGACACTAAGTGAGCATGCATCTTGGTGTGGCCGGATTGACAGTGAATCACGGCCAGGTCCACCGTGCCGGCTGCAGTGTGCACTCACACTGGGTCACGTTCAGGACGGACCAGCTGATAAGTACTTGGAATAACATCATGTTGAGAAACACGGATGCTGACCTGGAGAGAGTAGTATAAAATAAGTGGAACTGCTCCCCGTGTGATGACCACACCATCACACACACACGCCACAGGATACATCAGGAAGATCGGAGCTTGAAATCTGGATTACCCCTTGCTCACTATTTGACACAAGGACATTTGTTTGTCTCCTTCAGAGTGGAGGTAACAGTGAATTAGTCACACTGTCTGTGAAGAGTGACACGATGACCACGATGGTTATGTGAAATGTTTATTTGGGTATAACCTCCACAGCCTAAGATACCTCCTTCAGCCCCCGGGTGCTCCAGTTCAAAACACCTTTCCTGAAATTCACAATTAGTTCGTAATCACTACTATGTCAAAATCCACCCCTCTCCTAAAAATCAGTGTCATGGCATTCACTAATTATGAGCTGGTCCCACAACCACTGCCTGTTCTGTCTTGAAGCAGCAGGAGCCTTCGGATAAACCTTCACAAGTCCACTCCATGATGGCTCACGGAGAATGCGTCAGGTACCAGGCACTCTCCACTGGGAACTTCACGAGCATCACATTCACACACACTGTAAACAGAACCCTGCCAACAGAAGCCAGAGGAGCAGCAGCCTCCGGTGAGGAAGAGAAAGATTTTTCAGAGAAATCATATCTAGAGCACCAACCAGAATACACGGGATGCAATAATGGCCAGATGAATTTTAGTTGTATAATGTTCTTTCTTTCATATTGTTTCGTAGCAAACATTTCTAGGTTTCTGCAAAAATGTGGCAAATGATGAAAAGCAACATTTATTATCTTAGTTTATATTAGTAACTCAATTTCCCTTAGGACTGCTATGGATGTGAAAGGGGTTTGGGACTGAATTAACAAAGCTATTTGGGTAACAGTTGAAATAAGATCCAGGAGGGAAATAATGTGTCTATAAATCTTTTTCAGTGTCTGTAAATTCTGCAATCCCTTGAGCTACTTTCTTGGTACCTGGAGGAGAAAATGATTATTTTAATTTTAAAAAGCCAGTAGGTGCAAACATATGTTGAGACTTAGAAATGGAGTTAAAATTTTCCAAAGATACTTAATATATTTTAGAAATAAAAATATCATGACTTTTTTGTATTGTTAATCTTTTAATGAAGACCTAAAGAGAAAGAATAATTTACAATATCTATTAATTCATCCATCCATTCAGCAGATATTTGGCAGACCCTATCACGGCGGGGGCCCTGTGTGGGGTGGGGTTGTGGGGGTGTGTAAGCTGGTCTGTACCTTCAGAACACTGCAGACAGTCCAGGTGGGGGACCTGCACCCCAGCAGCTCAGAGGTGCGGTGAATGCTAACTGATTACAAAAGGCTTTCAGAAAGCATGCCAGGGGAGCGCCTAGCACCGATACAACCTCACGCTTGGCTGAGCTGTCATGAAGAGGTCTGAGCTGAGACTTGCAGATGGGAGAAGCTAATGGGGAGAAAAAAGGACCGCCTATGTTATGGGAAACAAAAGACTCCAAAAGTGGCAGATCTTGGATCAGTGGGAGGGAGACCAGCCAGACAGGCTGGTGTGGGACCACAAAGCTCGTTGCTTCCCAGCTCCAGAGAATAGACTCAGGAATAAGGAGCCTGAAGAGGGCTCCTAGGGCAAGACCACCATCCACACAGCTGGCATTCTCAGTGTCCGTGCAGTGCCTGACCTAAGCTAGGGGCTATGAGCAGTGACCAGGGCATCGTCTAGAAACCTGGATGAGGTTTACACGAGGCAGCAAGGCATACTATAAAATAGTCCTCACTTACAGTCTCTTGCCGATAATCCCCATGACCTCGGGTACATCTTGTCTGAGACACAAGAGTTACATGAAGAAGAGCATACAATAGCTACTCATCTAACATGGCATGTTTGTGAGGCGCGATGCAGTCTTTCACATGTTAGAATTATGACACTCTTATGAGATTGGTGGCATCTACTGACAGTTACCCACACAAGAGGTGGTGACCACCTGAAGTGAAGTGGGGAGGTCAGGACCATTATGAGAGGTGCCTCTAAACTGAAGATAACTGGACTGGGTGCACTGGCAAGGACGAGGGCATCCAAGGCCACTCTGAGAAGAACCCTGGGCAAAGGCAGAGAAAAGGCGTGGGGGGGGGCAGAGGCACCGAGGGGATGGGATTGGAGCTGTGGCCTGAAGGCAGGAAAGCATTCCATGCCCCAGGAGCAGACCACACAAAGAGGTGGGGCAGGAGCTCAGGGCGCTGAGGGAAGAGTGAGAAGCCCACTTGGAGGGAGGACTGGGAGCCCTCTGCGGGCAGCAGAGGAGAGGCTGCTACAGGTCAGATCCGGAGAGGGAGGGCCGTGGCTGCAGCAAGGACTCGCACCTTACTGTGCCCAGGGCGTGTGGGCACCAGACAGTGTAGACACATCGGCTGTGTGTTGGAAGGGTCACTGGCTGCTATGAGGAGGCTGGGGACATTCTAGAGGCTGAAGAGTAGAAGGAACACCATCAAGATGGCATTTGGACTGGTGGGTGAGGGAGGGTGTGCAGAGATTCAAGGTGGAGCCTGAGGAGGCGTTGGCAGGACTTGCATGGAGAGGGGGGTCCTCTGCACCCAAGCATGCAGGGGGCCGAGCTCTGAGGTGTGCCCCCCCCCCGAAGGGGGACAGGTCAGCAGGGGTCTTTAGAGCTGTGTGGACATGCAATAGCTGAGACACTAACTCTCTATCCTGGTAGCAGGTGGATAAGGGCAAGAAACGGTCAGAGAAATCAGTTCTGTGGCCACTAATGATTAAATGGTAGATAAAACAGTGGGCTGGACGACATTACTTGAAAATGGGCAATGACGGAAGTTCTAAGACTGTAACCCACTGCTCAGTTCTGAGGGAGGGAAGATGAGAGGCTGGCAGGGCCAGGAAGTGATGGTGAGCAGCCAGAAGACTCCCATGTCCAGAAGTCATGAAAGAGCACGACCCCCGTGTTGGGGGAGAGGATCGTTGGAGACCCGGAGAGGGTGAAGGGAGCGATGGTCAGGCTGGAATGGGAGGTATGGAAGTAGAGACGGGAGTTTAGATAGTTTCTGAGGAACTTCAGAAAAGGAAAGAGAGAAGTTATATCGATAGTTCCCGTGAAGAAATATGAAAGGTTATTGGCCAACATGAAATTTTGGAGATAGTGCAACCGATTTGTGTGATGAGGAGAATGAATGACGGGGTGTCTGGTACCCGTGAATACTGTCAAGGGTTATAAGGTCGGGTAGCATCACCACTTCACACGTGAGAAAAGGAACTTGCCAGAGAAGGTCACCCAGGGCAGCATGTGACTCTGAGCTGCTGGAAAGGAATTTCAACTCAGCTGAACTCTCAGGAGGAAGCTTAGGCTATTGGTGCACACGCAGATGATGCCAATAAGCGTTTTAACCTCACATCTGAATAAGGCACGGTTACATTTGGAGTAGCAAACGGAGTGCCAGAATTTTGGTTAAAGGCAAAATATCCAAGTCCATTATTAATCAGATAACCTAATTGTGTTTGTTGGTTATTTACTTGTGAGAGAACTGGCCAGATGCAGGCATAGAACGTTCCACAATCGGGGAGGTGGCCAGGAGAAGTTGGAGAAGAGAGAAAGTGGAGTAAATGGACCCAGACAGTTCAAGGACGTGAAGTTTATTTAAGTAGAATGTCTGAGTAGGAATAAATGAAAGCAGAAGAAAGTTGGAAAAATCTTGGATGATCTTGTTAAAGGCTTTGAAGCAAAGAGTGAGGATTTAGACCTGCTTCTCTTTAGAGTGAAAGCTACTCGGAGATCAAAGCCATAGGTGAATAGAAAGGTTGACAGCAGCACCGAGATTGATTGGAAAGAAGTTTTTGATGGAGGCCGGGAGCGTCAAAAAGAAAGAGTGGATGTCAGCTCATTCTCCTGGTAAGTAATTACAATAATGACCTGATGTTAGGACTGCTAAAAACCGAAGATTAGAATCCATCATTACAACAGAGCTATTTTAACTTAAGAAAAAAATTCCAACTTTTAAATGAGGATGTTCATATTGAAACTATGGCAACACAATTATTGTTAGTACTTTTAATAAAAAAATGTAAGTTATTACAACAAAAATGTACCACTATAACTGGATAAGTAACTTACAGCATAGTTTACTTGGCTGATCATGTGTGGGTAGCATCACCTTTTACCAAAGGTACTTCTATTTTATAGACTATTTTTTAGGAATGATAAAATATTGTTGACTAAAGGTGCCAAAATAACTGTTACTCTGATTCCAGATTGGCTCTCCTAAATGAAATTAAAACATAAAAATGAATCTAGGGTCTAAGGAATTGAACACCAGTGAGTTAGAACCTGGCTATTATAGTTGGGAGGGGCAGTCCTCCTCCATCTATTAAGTTGGAAGAGATTTATCCCCACAAACTGTCGAAGACAGCAGAAAAATTAAATAATAATAATAATAATTCATTGAAACTCAAAATATTTTAAAAACAACCAGAATTGGAATCTTTCCTTAACACCGTCTGCTAGAGTCCTGAGGACATTTTCTTTTCTTGTTCCCACACGGATAGCAGTGTAGGTGGTGTTATGACTGGAGACGAGACGAGGGGTCCCTGGCCCTGGGGTTGGTTAGAGAGGGTGGTGAACAGGAGCGAGGAGGGCAGTGGGGGGGACATCCTGGCCCCACTGTTGATGTCACTGTTCACTGCTGACCACAAAGGGAAGGGAGTGCTGGGACACTAAGTCAACTAATTTGAAGACCAAAATGAAACTCATATTAGCCTGAAGTAAGACCAACACTGAAGAGGGAAGTAATGCATTTATAGTCCAGTAAATCACTCAAAATACAGCTCGATGGACCTCCTCCCAGATGCCTTGTCCTACCCCCCACAGCTCTTCATGCTCAACCTAAATCCCCACAAATTTCAGGAAAGGACCATTCTGTTTTGTGGTACAACTTGATCTGGACTTGTCTGATTGATGTTTTTGCCGTATGTGGGAAAGTCTGACATGTAACCCAGCATGACTGTTAAAGAAATGAAAAAATTTCTTAGCAAGGAAAGTCAGGATCCCCAGTGAGTAACTGTCCCTAAGATGCTATCACTTGAGGTGATGAGGATCAGTGGAACTATTTCAAATAGATATCAACAAATTTGTGCTAGTCAGCCTTCCACCCATCACTGTAACACATATCCTAGAGAGTCTATTCACAGGAGGCAGGATTTACTTGGCTCATGTTCTCAGAGGTTTCTTGATTGCTTGGCCCCATCACTGGGGGCCTATGGTGAGGGAGAGCAACCCGATGGGACCATTGCTCACCTAAGGGCAGCTGGAAAGAAGAGTGACAGGAAGGTCCAGGGTCCCATGTCCCCTTCGAGGGCATACCCAATGACCTAACTCTATTCCACCAGGCCCCGCCCCCTCAAGGCTCCACCCTCAAAAGCACAAGCTGGTGCCCCAGCCTTTAGCTTGGATGCCTCTGGGAGCCATTCAAGATCCAAGCCATGATGTTATCATTAGATATAACGTCAAAATTATATATGGACACGTATATTCCTCAGTAACAGGACAATGCCATCAAAACCTCTACTTCTCCTTTAGTAAGATTTATATTAAAGATTACAGCTTGGAGCAGAGAATCACTTGAGTCAGTTACTGAGGCCCTCAGTAACACGTTTTGGAAAGCATTCATTCTGTGTGAATCAGCCTGTGTGAGCCCTGGCTTGCAGAACGTGGCCTCGTATGAATGTTGCCTCATTTATTTACTTGATGCAAATAACACAGCAGCGAGCAGGGTTCTGGCTTCCGAGCTATTCAGACTTTCAGATTCATCAGCTGTATAACTGAGGGCAAGTTAATTAACCTTCCTAGATATAAGTTTTCTCTCTCCTTAAAAGAAGACCCCCACCCCAACTGGGGAGGGTCAAGAGGAAACCTGGAATGACATCTGTGACGTGCTCATGGAAGTGCAGCCTCTGTCATCGTCATCACCATCACTGTGATCAGCTGAATCGCTGACTTCAGCGTTGACTGCAGGAAGCCTGGTGGAGCGGCCGCCCAGCACTCAGGGGCTCATTATCACTCATTATTTTGTGCAATTAATTCCAAGTCACACGGCAAGGACTTGAGCACACTGCCGACAGCTACTTGCCAAGAGTGAAATGTGAGGGAAGCCACTTCATGTGACAAAGTCAACATTTACTCAAGAATCTACTTTATATATGCCAGAAATTTTAAATGAACATCATTGTATTAGTCAAGTGAACCAGGAGTGGTGCAGAGAAAGAGCCAAAATGTATAGAGAAAGGATTTCTCTACCAAAGACCTCATTTTTCAAGAGATTTTAAAAGCAATACTCAAGCTTTTCCAAAAAAAAGTAACACAAAGAATCACTTTTAAAAACCTGACTCAGCTCCAGCAAGTGGCTTTATCTATGAATTATTTTATTTCAAATTAGAAATATGACTAGGAATTTAGGAATACTATTCTATCACCCAGGCTTTGTAATCAAACAAATGTAGGCTGGACTCCCGACTTGCCATTGTCCAGATCAATAATGATCTCGAGAAAATGATTCAAATTTTCTCAGGGTCAGCATCCTCATTTATAAATTAACACAATACTATAATCCACTTCAAGGGACAGTTGTGGGGATACAGAAAGTGGGCATAATATCTGAAACTCTACCAAGGCCTTCCAGTTTTTTTACTTGGAGGATTAACTGCTATGGAATTTGTTCTTCCGCAATAAGAAAGTAGAAAATTGGAGACAAAAGAACTATTTTCTGACTGCCTTGGTCCATTTTGTGCCCCTCTAATATAATAGTCAAAATTGAGTGATTTATAAGAAACAAAAATCTACTGGTTCAGAGTTCCAGAGACTGGGAAATCCAAGACCAGTTGCTGGCATTTGACGAAGACCTTCATGCTCCATCACAACATGGTGGAAGGCACCACAAGGCAGAATGGCAAGGGGTAGAAAGGAAGGGCAAGAGATAGAGGTTGAACTCACGTTTTCATTCTAAACCCAGTTCATAGCATTAATCCACTTGTGAGGGTGGAGCCATTGTGGCCTAATCACTTCTTAAAGGTCCCCTCCTTATAGTGTTGCAATGGTAACTAAATCCAACATGAGTTTTGGAGGCGCAAACCTTTGAACCATTCCACCGACTCTGGACCACAAGTAGTGCAGGACGTAATCCCAGTGAGAAGGAAACAGTCAAAGATTCTCCTCTGCTTACTCTTGGTAGGGTCTGAGCCCATGGCAGCTGGAGGAGGACACAAGCAATATCTAGAAGTCTCAAGTAAGTGGGGAGAGAGAAATCAAGTGCAGGAATGCCGTAGAGGTCAGAATTGGCAGGACTGAATGCCTGAGAGAAGAGACCTGCACGGAGGCAGCTTTGGAAATTTTCAGAGAGATACTTCAGATCTGCTTCGGGGTTAATAGTTCTGAACTCACACAGGGTTGGGTCGTCTGCAGTCCCATGAGAGCAGAGAGATCTTATAAACAGGGGGCAACTGGGGGAGTCATGGAGCGTCCATGACACCACAGTGGGCCTGAAGCACCTGGGGCCTTACGGCTCTTCTGCACTCCACTGGCACAGATCATGACACGCCTCAAAGGGCTCAGACTGACCCCAAGTAACCTGGTGGCCTACAGAAAGTCACCATTCTTTATAGGATACTACAAAACCCAGCACTGAACAATGTCTAATTTACCATGTCTTGAATCCACTAAAAAATGACCAGGGCTGCAAAGAAACAGGAGAATGTGAACCATGACCAGAAAAAAAAAGCAATCAATTGAAAAAGATCTAGAAATGACAGAGATAATGAAATTAGCAGGCAAGAATATTTACCTATAATATAGACAAGCTCTATATGTCCAAGAAGGTTCAGGAAAAAAATCATGAGAAAAATGAGTGGTAAAAAGTCCCAGATGCGGGGCTGGGGATGTGGCTCAAGCGGTAGCGTGCTCCCCTGGCTTGCGCGGGGCACTGGGTTCGACCCTCAGCACCACATGAAAATAAAATAAAGATGTTGTGTCCAAAAAAAAAAAAAAAAGTCCCAAATGGGAGCTGAGAACGCAGCTCTGTGTAGAGCACGTACCCAGTGTGCACAGTACGTGCAAGCCCTGGGGTTGACTCCAGGACTGAAAAGGAAAAAGAAAAACGGAGGAAAAGTGCAAGTTAAATATATGGGGAAGAAAAATACAGTTTCTCCCATAGAAACCTACTATAGGGATAATAGCTGAATAAACAATGCAAGAAAAACCAGGCAGGGAACTTGAAGAAACGGCGGTAGGAGCCACCATGGTTGAGCTCAGAGAGAAAGATGGTCAGGGCACACTGACCTGTGGGACACTATCAAGGCGTCCCCCACAGGAGAAACTGAAGGGGCCGACGCAGGCAAGGAGGCACAAGGATGGGCAAGGCAGAGTCGAGTGTTGGTAAGTGTGCAGACCCGGAGGGGCAGCGGAGAGACAGAGGGCCTGAGGGCTGGGAGCCGGAGAGAGATGACTGACGCTGAGAGGGGCCCCGGCTTCCTGAGAAAGGACCTTAAGTGACTCAAAACTCAAGTGGATACAATCCTGGAAAAGTGTCTTTGTTCACCTGTACCTTGTACCCTTTTCTGTCACTATCTGGGGATGTGGCCAGAGCTAGATCAAATGCACTATGCCTTTGGCTTTATGAATGCTGCTTCCTGGGCACTCACATTAATAGCTCTTAATTATTCACCTTGCCACCTTCTCGAGTCCATTGTGGAATGAAATCAGCAAAGCTGAACAATTTTCAAGTATCTATGAAAATATAAAGATGTCAGCAGTGATATAAAAAGAACTACAAATACACTAACAAGTGAAGTGACATAAAGGGTTAAATTCAAGCACAAGTAACAGGTATGAGCCAAGGTTCAGAGTGAAACAGTTCCTCTACTCTGGGAAGATCCTTTTATTCCATTGGACCCACAGGGACAGGGTCCTCCCCGGCGTCCCCAGTGACCCCCATACAACAGCCATGGTGATAAGTCTGCTGCAGTGAGCACTGGGCATGGGCTGTTTCCCTGTCTCAGGTGAGGACTCAGACTAGGTCCAGAAAGGGGGGAGTGAAGAAGAAATGGGAAATGCCCCCAGACCCACATACAGGAATGAAAGGCAATGTATCTAGGTACCAACTGCTCTGAGTGACACCCAGAAAGGCAAGGCCTGCAGTCCTTGAGTTGTTTCAAGATTGAGAGACCTTCTAAGGTTCAGTATAAATGCTACCTAATGCACCTATGTAAGTACAAGGCAAGCCCATCATATTTTTGACAAATTAACATACCCATAATTTCATTTATTAAAAAGAAGGCTTTGCAAGATATTCTGGAGGCATCAGGCTGGTGCTTTAGTGATGCAGAGTCACTCAGTAATTCTGTAAAAACAGTTTGGCAAAATTAACTATTTAAACAAAAGCACTGCCTTTGATAAGGAGATTTTGAATATTCCTTTTGGGATTTCATCCCGATTCAGTTCCTGGATCCCAAATTCAACTTTCTTCAGACTTCCAGGTTAAAATTATAATTTCTAAGATGAAGAACCACCATTTCCTTTCTAACCTTATGTTTTCCAGGATAATTTAGGGGGGAGATTGAGAAACATATTATGACAGGTAATCATTTGCAAACACACAACTCTTTCAATGCCTGCCATGTTCGGCTCCGTTTTATAGCATCTGTCTTGGCAGTATAAATTGTGCTTGGCTGCAGAGGTATGCAGTGCAGCACAGCGAAGAAAAACAATCCTGACAACCGAAAAATAAAGCACCATGTGTGAGTTCGTGCTTGTGTGGGGAGCCGGGGCGTGTGTGTGTGGTTCAGAACAGGGCCGCTCTCTGCTTTTCCAGCTTTCTTTCAAAGGTTCTTTGGTTAGCTTCCTTGTTTTCTTTTACAGCAAAGCAATGCCACAGGAGGAATGAGACAACTGTCACATCTACGAGGGGTGCCAAGCAACCCCAGCCTGGTCCAACAGGAGCTCCCTCCCCACTTCCACAGAAGAAAGCGACGCAGCCCGGCACACACAGATGGATTGTGTCAGTAATATTTACCATTAGGCAAGCTGTGATTTTCTAAACAAAAGCCTATATTACATTAATTTTTTTAAAGCAAAAGCACAGGAATACTGCAAGATCACATGACATTGTGACTGTTCAGAATCAAATTGGTATACTCAGCCTTCTGCAAACTCATTTTAATGCATTCTCCCCAAAATCCACTCAAAACCTGTTTATTTAAATAATGTGTTGTGTTTTTGGTTTTTTTTACATTATAGAACATCTAAAATCCAACACCTTGAAAGTATATACCTAAACCTTCAAAATCAAATCAAAACTATTGAAGGCTTTATTTTTCAGAGGGTTTTGGTAAACCAAGTGCTAAGATCTGATATCTTTCAAAACTCATGTTGAAGTTGACATGTCATTGTGACCTGGTAAGAGGTGGGACCTTCAAGAGGTGATTAGGTCATGGGGCATTGCCCTCCTCAGTTAAGCTGTGGGACAGTTATCACAGGAGTGATTAGTTGTCACAGAAGAGGATTAGCTACCACAGGAGTGGGTTAGTTATCAGAGGAGTGTGCTCATTATCATGGAGTGGGTTAGTTATCAGAGGAGTGAGTTAATTATCACTGGGGTGGGTTAGTTATCACAGGAGAGGATTAACTATCAGGGGAGAGGGTCAGTCAGAAAAGGAAGTACTGGGCCTGTGCTGGGCATGGTCTCTCCACCTTGGACTTCTCAGCCTCCAGAACCATGAGCCAAATAAACTACTATTGTTGGCCCTTATTCAGTAGGTGCTGTTCTGTTATAGCATCAGAAGATGGACTAAGACTCAAGTTAAATGCATTTGGAGTGCAGTTAAGCCCACTCAACTCAACCCTCTGGTTCAACTTGGTACCTTCACTTGTCTTACTGTTTGATTAGCGTCCAAATGACCATTTGAATTTCGACATGTTTTCTTCTATTGATTATGTATTTTAAGATGACAAAAAACGAAATGAATGAAATCTCTGATTTAGAGGCCAATGCATCTCAATTGCTATGGCAATCAATACCAGTAACAGAGAAATTTACAAACCATCAAACAATTAAAAAGTAAATATATGGCTTTGCCTTGAAGTGTCCAGGAGTGCCCTGAAGGAACACGCTTTAAGTCCTGACGTAGGGGGCGCTGACCAGTTACTCCATTTCCTAATGACTTGGGCTTTGTCCCAGCTCAGATACCAGGCGTGGCTCCAGGTGTAGGCATCACCGTGGGGGCTGAGTTACACTCACCTGTTCTTTTGTAATCCTACCCTTTTGCCCTTTTTGGGATAGGATGTTCCATGGAACCTCCCCTTGTATGTCTCCTAAATTAGAATAAAGAATTCCAGTGGCTCCTTCTCTTTCCACAGACTGTTAAGGTCACAGAGCCGTCACCAGATTATTGAAAAGGTACTTCTGTGTGGTCGCATGCTTTCTTTGTCATTTTCTTAAGTTATGAGAAGAGTCAGATTTTGTGAACCAGCATTGGGTCGCCAGCTGGGATAGATGGAGAAAATGAAGTCTGTTTTTCATAAATGGAGTGCACCCAAGGGAAGTAGGAGGAGCAAGAGAGGGTCCACACACAGACAAGGCATTGCTGCCCACCATCCACTGGTAGAGGGAGCCTCTAGCTCTAGACAGTCTCAGAGGAGAGTCACTCCAAAAGGATTATTTGTGAGCATCTCATGTGAAAACACACACCCAGGTGAGAGACCACCAAACCCCTTCTGTGAATGTGGCCTGCAGAGCCTAACAGTAGTGCTGTCAGTTTGGCTAGTCTGACTGATTTAAACAGTCAGTTTAACCAAGAGTACACAATGTGTGGCCACATAGATGAATACGCACACCTAACCTACTTCTGTGATTTTAGTTTACAAAGCTGAGAAATAAATTGCAAGAAACCAGAACACATCAAAGAGAGACGAAAGGAGAGGGGAAAATTAAGAATGAATAGAGAAAAGATGAAAATGTGTTCCGAAGAGGACTCTCACAGGAGCTGAAAGCACAAGACCCAGGACTGGCATTGAGGGGGCTGGATGCGCGGCTCTCTGCTGCAGCACCCACGCAGCCCAGGGGGAAGAGCACGATCCTGCAGTCAGACTGGCTGGCACACGGCCTGTCTTTGCCAGGGACCAGCAGTGTGGCTCGTTCAAGTGAGTTAACCCTGCCAGGCCTTAGTTTCCCTGTCTGAAAAAATGGTGGTGATAATTTTTCCTCCATTATAGGCTTTTTATGGAGACTAAATCAAATAATACTAAAATAGAACATAGAACCGTGAGGGGAACACAGGAAGCACTAATGTGTCAACTAAAGAGCATTCTGACGCCTTGTTCTTCATTAGGACAACAATGACCTGGAAAAGCAGGTTATGAGCATTCTACATGCTGATATTTGTATAGCATTGCTCACGTGACTAGACTATGGTGATCTTTCAATAAACATTAAATTACAATTAGTGCTACTATAGTGAAGAGCTAAAATTTAATAAGCACCTACCACATGTTTGAAACCCTTCTAAATACCTTGTATTATGAATTCATTTTTATCATAACTATAGTCATTGTTGCGGGGCTTTATCATTATCTCCATTATACAGAAGGGAAACTGGGCACAGATAAATAATTATGATCAATACCCCTAGATGGAGAAAAGCCTCTAGAACATAAAAAATTAGTTAGGAAACAAGGCAATAAACCTAATTAATTTAGCCAAGCAATGCTTTTTGACTTTTTTCCTCAGTTAATTCCCAATTTTGTGAATAAAATGTTCAAGATAATTGGCGACATTGGCTCTTAATACACAGCATATGGCTCTAGGAAACGTTCTTTATTAACTTACACATGTAAGATTTACCACGCACCATGGCAGACACTGCTAACCAGTAGACTCACTAACATACAGTTTTCCCCCCTTTCTTATTGGATAATAAAATATGCAAGGTGGGAAAATGTTGCCCACAGCACTGGATTTCCCAGCCTCCTTGCAGCGAGAGGTAGTCACTGACTCATTTCTGGCTGATGAAATGTACGCCCAACGTTAGAGATCCATGTCCACCAAATTCCCTAAAACTGAAGGATAAAGAAAGCTGGTGTAAACACTGAGTGTGACATTCCCCTCCTCTTCTTACTTGGACTGTGGATTTGATGGCTGATGCTCCATTAAATAGGAGGAGGGAGCCTGGGATCTCCGTGGTGATGGGTATCAGCTTGGACGACCTACCATCGTCTTCTAGGGAGAAAAACACCTCAGTCATGTGTAAGTCACTGGGACTTTCGGTCTCTGCTCCTAACGGCTCCATGGAATTTATGCTAATATGAGTAGCAATGTGAACTGGACCAGCAAGCAGAACATATTTGAAGAAAATAAGAATGGAAATAATTAAGTGCAGTAAAGTATTGCGCATGTTACGCAAGAAGTAGCACTGGGTATAATGAGTCTGCCTAGGAGAAAAGTGTTTATTCCTCCCATGTATGTTTCTAGAGAGAGTGAAGCTATGTCAACTCTTAAAAATTGAGAAAGTGCCCAGTTCACAAAGGCAGAAGTGAAAGGAGGAACGTGAGACATCCCCAGCAGAGCAAGCTCATGCGGAAAAGCACACAGAGGTGGGAGAGACTTCGGTTAGTTCTGAGCCAAAGTGGCATCAGTCAGTATGATCAAGACTATGTGTCAGTACAAAATGAATGGCCTATTTGGTTGAGTAAAACATCGTAAAAACTGCCTGGCTCATTTAAAGACATCTCCATATTCTCAATTTAAATTGCTTAAAAGTGCTCTCAGCTTAAGAAGGAGAAGGCAGCTGCTGGCTGTAGAGCCTGCTCTCCCAGCCCTTTTCTCAATGGGCAGGTGTACCCCACCTCGACCCTTTTACTATCCACACCTCGGTTGAGGTTAACACAGCATACTGCAAGAGAGCCTTGAAGCCAACCTCTAGAAAAGCTTGAGTCTCTAATAGATTAATATTCTTTCATCACGGTAAAAACAATATAAGATACGCAGAACTGATCTTAACATTCACTACCTTACATCTTTCAAACTGTTGGCGAACTATCAAATGTCATAAGATAAAGAGGAAGCACTTTGTAGAGGTGTTCAAAGCACTTGCAGCATTAATGAATTCTAATATTCCTGGGAAGAAAGAAAGTCCGCAGATTTATTTACCAAAATTCACAACAAGACCAAGCACTGGAGGATGCTCTCAAAGGTCCAGCTGTAGGGTGCCCCAGGCCCTCCTGGAGTGCATGGAGCCATGCTTTCACACAATGTCTGTGCCTAGGTGCACACAGATGGCAGGACTATGTCACAGGCCCACCCAGGTAAAATGTGCGTAACAGTGCACCCAGCTGATCCCATGTTCTCTGGACAGTTCTAGCCAATGGATAAGAGCTGGACAGATTCTTGTCTTTGAGTGAGTTGAAAACCAATGTCCCACTTGAGCAGCCAACCCTCATGGACAGCTTCTCCACAGGGGAACTTCCCTGCCTCTAGAGCCTCCCAGTAACCCCGAACACAGTGACAGTCACCATCCCCCTGGGCACCAGACTGCTGTTATGGTGTTGATCTACCAACCCACCCCTCTCACCTGCATCATCAGAGTGGAAGCCTGCTAGCCCATACCACCTGCTGAGGATTTTTGTTAACACCAACCCTGCTTAATAAAACGTGTTGGCCCATTTCTCAGATGAGGAAACTGAGTCCTGGCTGAGTAACTTGCAACAGATACAGACTCTGAACCAGGAAAATTTGGTTTTAAACTCTAGAATTTAGACCACATCTCCTTCGCCCTGATACATTTTTTTTTGACCTCTACTTTCCCCAAATTAGTGGATCAGCTTTGGATGGAAATGTGCAATGGGGAGCTCACCTCCAGCCTTTATACTGCTCTTCACCTTAGAGGAACCATCATCAAACCAGAAACCAGCCAGACCTCACTACCTTCTTATCATCAGTCCCCACACAACACTGGTCACCAGTCTTGCCTCTACTACCCCCACTCCTTATCTCTCCTCTCTCCCTGTCCCTTCCTCAAACGTTGGCTTCAGCCATGATAAAGCACTTCTGTTTGCTCACACTCCTGGCTCCTCGGGGGTTCATGCTCAGTCAAAAGTGATTTCTGCTGCCAGTTTCTCAGTCCCTTTATGCCCATTTTATATAAATAAGCCCAGCTCTTTCTTCAAAATTCATCTCAGAGATTTCAACCACACTACCACACTACAACTTCCAACCACACTACTCAGGCTAAGGGTGGTGACTTTTCTTTCCAGTTCTGTAAATTACATTCATTTTTCTTTTATCACCAGTGACTACTCGTATCCACCCTGGCTTGGGCTCCACACAGAAAAACCAACATCTTTTAACTGGTAGCACCTGGGGCCGGCACAGAGCCTGATGCATAATTATACTTAAGGTTATTTCAAAGAAAGAATGGTGTGGTCATCTGGAAAGGGTCCTTTGATTGGGTGAAGTGAAGTCTCAGGAGTATTATAAATGGAAATGCAGCAGGAGACACAGGTTGGGAGAGACAGTAACAACAGGTCAGCAGAATCAACCCTGAACATCAGTGAACTGCACACCATCATATCATGATTGTTTTTAAAAACAGCTTTTGCTGAAAAGAATCGAAATAATTTTGTAAACCAATAAATATAAGTAAAACTTACTCCCTCTCTCAGGAGATTGTAGTATCACTGGAGAAATAAGTTTATCAAATAGCCAAGAAACAAGGCAAAATCAGATAATGTGGAATAGAGCAGAAAGATATAAGA